ATTCAACCTATCTATCAACTACAGAGGATTTTCCAAAATAAGCTAGGTATAATTACCAAAAATCCAAGGGTTTACTCTTCCTTTCCAATCTGGAAAGGACTATACTCGAACAAACCAAAATATAATACATAAATTATATATGATATATTGTGACATGTCGTAGTTTGCTTACATATTCTCATGATATTCCCTGGTAGTCCCATTATTGCTCATTTCTATCATGTTTGCATCACTATTTCCATTGAATATCCACAAGTCCTTCACATGTATATAGATCATCATTGAATAAAACAACTAATTGGTATGTACTCCCAGTATTATCCATGAATCCTTCAACAAACATGATCATATCACCACATGTCCACATAAAATTGCCAGCTTTATAGGTCAACGAATCAACTATACGAGGTGGTGCCTCCCCAGTTATAAGTTGTAAGTTGCTTTTGGAATGTTTTTAAACCACCAAGAAGTCTAGTTCTCAGATGTTATAAGTTATAAGTAAACCAACAGCACGACTTAGCAAATTAAAAGCATCACACAGATTCTCCCGACTTTGACCAGTCCGGCCTTTCCCAGGGCCGTCAAGGAGGCGTTGATCTTCTTCGCCTCTTCCAAGGTTTCTCCGACGCAATGGCTGCGACCTAAAGGCTTTAAAGGGCCATGGTAGAGTCACACAACCGACTTTGAATAGACCTGGGTTAATAGACCTGTAAATGGAAGAAATCCGGGACCAGTTGATTGGTGGTTTGTCCGATAATTGACCGTTGTTTATATAATTGTTTTTGGGTTTCAACCATCCAAGGTGGTGCAGGATTTTTGTCCATCAACTGTATTTAGTTGATGGATTGATGGATGGATAGATTCATTTGACCAACTAATCCCTTCCCCCTAAAATTAACCACCACCACCTTAAAAACCATGGTTTTGTTTCGGGATGTTCCACATAATTGGGGCCATTTATCGAGTGCTTGATATTAGAGTGATGGGATTATATGATTCTTCCTCGCAAGTTGAAGCTGCTAACCAGATCTAACTAGTGAAGTGAACTGGCCATGCTTCACCCTGGTAGCCTGGCTTAAGCTAAGGTCAAATTAAAATTACTTTACTTCGTGTGATCCCCACCATGACATTTATACATTTTCTTACTGGCAAATCTTCTGGCATTCTATCTGACATATCTTCTGGCATGCTATCTGGCATTCTATCTGGCATAACTTCTGGCAAATGTTCTGGCATTCTATCTGGCAAATCTTATGGCATTCTATCTGGCATGTCTTCTGGCATTCTATCTGACATATTCTGACATATCTTCTGGCATTCTATCTGGCATACCTTCTGGCATTCTATCTGGCATATCTTCTGGCATATCTTCTGGCATGTTATCTGGCATATCTTCTGGCATTCTATCTGGCATATCTTCTGGAATATGTTCTGGCATATCTTCTGGCATTCTATCTGGCATATATTCTGGCATATGTTCTGGCATATCTTCAGGCATTCTATCTGGCATATCTTCTGGCATATTATATGGCAAATCTTCTGGCATTCTATCTGGCATCTTCTGGCATATTATCTGGCAAATCCTCTGGGATTCTATCTGGCATATCTTGTGGCATTCTATCTGGCATATCTTCTGGCATTCTATCTGGCATATCTCATGGCATTTTATCTGGCATATCTTCTGGCATTCTATCTGACATTCCATCTGGCATATCTTCTGGCATTCTATCCGGCCGTTGAGGTCCAGTGCACACTGAGCTGGACAGGTCCCAGGTTGAGGTCCAGCGGTGCACACTGAGCTGGGAAGGTCCCCGGTTGAGGTCCAGCGGTGCACACTGAGCTGGGCAGGTCCCCGGTTGAGGTCCAGCGGTGCACACTGAGCTGGGCAGCTCGCACGTTGAGGTCCAGCGGTGCACACTGAGCTGGGCAGCGCGCCGGTTGAGGTCCAGCAGTGCGCACTGAGCTGGGAGAGCTTGGCGACGAGTTGGCAAGGTTGGCAAGGCGGAAGTGGAGGTGGAAGAGGCGGAGGCGAGGAGGAGGGCGAGGAGGACAGCTAGTCGAGGAGGAGGAGGAGGAAGAGGCGGCGGGCGGGCTGCGCTCTGATAAAATCTAACAACCCTCACCTGGCAGGTGGGGAATAACTGGAAAACCGATGGGTTTATATTCAATTTCATCAAATATGTTGTGATAAGTAATGTGTGCAATTATTAGGTTTTGATCTAATCTAAGGCTATCTAAGAATGTCCCTGGTCAAAAAAAACAAACATAATCAAAAAACAACTCAAGTTTTAGGATGAAATCATTGGAAAATGGCTTGCACACCACAACCATCCGAATGAGCGGGATAGAACCAAGCATGTCCATATCTTCAAAAACAAAAAGAAAAGTCGGTTTGGCACACTATTTACCTTCATGTTTCCCCCCTAACCCAAAAATGGATGGGAAATCGTACATTTATATATTATGTGTCCATCAAAACTGTTTGATTACCGGAGGGTAGATGTTCTTTTGTTCCTGGTTCTTATTGAAAAAAACTGGCTTGTCCAGAAGACCGGAGGTTGAAATTGCTTCAAAAAAAATGCCAGGCCTCAAGTTCAACCCATATCCATGTACAGTATTACAAAACACCCAATACTTTACGAAAGTGCTTCGGCTGGCATCTTCTGATTTTCTACTTCTAAAAATTTCAGGTATGCTGAAAGTTTTTTGTTTATCTTTGTTTTTCCATGTCAATGGATCCATTTCATTCCATTTCCACCCGTTTTAGTTGGGAATTCAAACAGATAATTGTCAACAATCCTTAATCAACATACAATATCCCCATTAGGGTTTGTTGCAAAACCCATTTACTCATATGCCTGATGTTTAATAGGTAAACACTATTTAAACACTGATAATGATAGCCAGTAACAATACTACCTGGATGTGCAGATTGACCTAAAACCTGAAAATCCAAAGCAAAACATATCCCAGTACATATTATTTAGTACATATCCATCAAACAATAAAACAATGGATCCGATCCAACAATCCCATTAATCAGACGTCAATTGTCCTGTTTAATTCTAGTGATGATTCGATCATTCAGATTCAAATTGTCCATGTTTTATCCAACAGCTTAACCATCTGGATATTGGATCACATATTAATCAACGTATTGCCGAACACGCACACACACATGTATATATATATATAATAATAATATATATATATATATCGCATTGTTAGCTATTTGTCAAATTCCATGGATAACACATATTGCAACATTAAACCAACGGCAATTTCTGTGCTGATCTATTCCAACTACCCCATGATTCATGTCCATTAGGGATAAGTGTTCCAAAAGTGCTCCATCAATAGATTACCATTTCCAATAGTCATACTGTGGATGAAAGAAATCTTGCACCAGTTGGTAGATGGTTTATCCCGGTAAAATCCCATTATTTACAGTGTTTCCATAGTTACCAATAGTTACCCTGCCTGGTGCAGGATTTCGTCCATCCACAGTACCATGATTTACCCACCTTTTACCCGCTGCTAATCAGCTCCATGCCCATTTTCACCAGAGATTTCCCGAATTTCTCATGGTTGACTACCTCTGGTTACAAATACTCTTCCGATATACATATGTATTACATATATGTATATATATATATAAGGTGTATATATATATATATAAGGTGTAATATATATATACACAATCTATATATCATATATATATATACATATTTACAATCTACAATATATATATATATGATGTATATATATATAGATACAATTTAAATAATATATATATATATATACACCTATATATATATTATCAATCTATATAATAAACATATTTATATATTTATTTTTTTATCAATCTATAATATATATTGTATATATACATATGTATATATACAATATAAATATATATAATATAAATAAATAATATAAATAAATAATTTAAATGTATAATATAAATATATATATATTATATATATATACATCATTAACCCCATTATCCAAACGTCCTTGTCTGATTTCCCCCCATGTCAGGGCCTGATTCCCATCCGCTGGAGATTCCCGGACACACCCGTTCGCTGCCCGCCAAATCCACCAGGGACAGCTTCGCCGTGCGCTGGGCCGAGGTGGAGACATCCATAGAGCTATGATTTATGTTTCAATATGTATACATATATATATATAGATGATAAAACTCGGAACTGGGGATGTGACCTGTTTTTCTCCGAGCTGAGTTGCGACGAATTGGTTTTGATATTGGGTGTTTTTCTTTTGGGGGTGTATGAGAAATAAGCGAATCTGGGGAATGGCATTTGAGGATCTTGCTGGATGGAATCGTAGTAGTTGCGTTTAAAGCTGCGAAAATCATCGTAAAAGCAGTTTCTTCAAAATTAATTAACCAAATCAGTTTGAAAAATTGTACGGTTCATAATGATATGCAAAGGTATCTGGGGAATCCACCCTAATTAGGCAAAGCGGATCAACCTCATTGGTTTTATTCCAGAAACAATAGGATCGGATTCATTTCAAATTGAACAACTTGGCGCCTAAGCCAAGGGCGTTTATATAGTTATATTTGGGTTCGGTATATTGACAAAGGATGAATGTGGTAGTATTGTTGGAAGATAAAAAAGAATCGGTTTGGCGCTGAACAAGGAAGTGAACTAAACTGATCTCATCTGTAGCAAGATCTGTATGTATTTTCTTGTTGGGCTTGAAGCAACTGCTTGCAGCACATGCATTTTGGCTCCTGAACTTGAAAATATCAAGCTAATGATGGTAACACCACGTGACTGACAGTTGCTGCATCTATCAGTGAAGATGACGTTTTTTGTTGTTGTTTTTTTTGCGTCGTGGGGTTTCATGTTTGAATGACAACCTTGGGAAAGCCAATCAAGAATAGATGAATGCATGACACGGACACATACTTATGTAGGACTGGCAAATGATAATAGTGATTGAACTTTGATAATAATTTTACAAGGTTGGTATCAGGAGAATAGTAACCCTACCGGTCATTGAGGATCCGACTAGTTTTTTTGGCGTGGGTGTGTGAATTGTAGGCTACGTACATTCTCAGGAAACTATCATTTCAATAGACCAAGACTAAGATACAGGGATATGCTTTATTTGATTAAAAAACTATCTTAGATAATGCCAGGGAACTGGCATTCAACAGCGGAGAATATCGCAATGTGCATGCCTCGGAGAGCATGCTGGAGCACTTGCTGGAGATTCGCAATGATCAATCTATCTTGATCTTTGATGCTCTCGAGGATGAGAAGCACTGTTGCAAAATCTACGGAGCTTGAACCGAAGGGCTGAAATTCAAGTCGAGGAGTCCATGCGCAAGGGAATTGGAAAGATTGCTTCCTGAGCATCTGGAATGGATGCTTATATGAAAGCTTTGACCGGATGCCCTGGGAACTTGCTGGAGCAGGACGAGGACTGCGGCCAAGGGGTAGCTGAGAATGATGCTGTTGCTGATTGATGATAAACGTAATTGGATGGCCACTACGCTCTCAGCCATTCGCACTTAGGTGCCATTTCCATTGCCAAGCCAATTCGCAGCTTCAATCCTTTACCTGTGCGGGCCCCTTGCAATGAACTTGAGTCAAGCCAATTGCCGGAGTATTTTATCGTTGGGAGTTGATGAGTGGTGTCTTGCTGTTCTGCCTTAGCACTGTCTTGCTTGGAGCCATCTGCCTGTGCACTGGTGTCTTTCTTTTCTGCCTTTGCGCCTTTCACCAGCTCTTTCGACTTGGGAATTGTTTCAAGCCCGGACTTTTCGCACAACTCCTTCAGGCGTCGAAGCTCGGCCTCATCTTGTCGTCGGCACACCCAACGACTCTTTGAACCGACTGACAGCACAAAGGTTGTCACAAAGCCGCTGGCTGTTAGCCGCGGCTCTTCCCAAACAAGGAACTCCGGCATGGGTCAAGCCGGGAACACCAACAGGCTGGGACACTGAGGCTTGAAGCCAAATAATGACGAGAAACAAGATTCCAAAATCAAACTCCAATCATCCCTAACAGTTGTTGTCTTTGAGGGCGTACGTTTCGAAGCTATGTTTCGAACCTATGTTTCGGCCTATGTTTCTGAGTAATTTCCGAAGGATGTTCAACATGCCTCCTATTTAAAGTGCCAAGCGCCGTATTTAGAGAAACATCCATATATATATATATATATTTATTTATTTATATAAATAAATTATACATATATATATATAATAGGACGTATGAGTAGCGGGCACAAATTCTTTGTTAAATTTACTGCCATGCACAACTTAGGGTCGCCCCCTATCTGTTGTGATGATTTCAGTACTCCCGGAGGTATCACAAATGGGATATCGGTATAGGGTCGTCCCAAGTCGGTTATGAAGGTTTTGTGAACCTTAGAAGGCCAAGGCAAAGCAAGACTAAATTAGTATTACACTAATTTTGTCGGTTACTCATATGAGATATGATCTATCTCATCTATCTGACCTATCTTATCTATCCATGTATCCATACATCCGTCCATCCATCCGTCCATCCATATTTGTCATTGGATTGCCTACAGCATCAACAAAAACTATGATTGTTTGACTGCATACAAAGCCATATTAGGGCAGCACAGCACATTGCATTACTATGCAAGCTGTTCTCCAAGCAAAAATGTTTAGGTATGCTAGCTTGGTATAACTAGATCAAAATACCCTGAAGTGTATTAACTTACAATAGATTGACAAACTTTTGCTGACACGCCCTGCATGTCCAACAAAGAATGCCAGGGTTCCCATTTGGCAATCCCAAGACTAAAAAATGACTGAGTTGCATCTTTAGCCTTTCACGATCTAACAAAAAAAACTTAAAAAAAAACAAATCTAGGTGAGTTCTTCTCAGTGTTCTCAGTCTTGTTTCATGGATCTTCATTCTATTCTCGACTCAACGTTTCACAGTGGTTTTGGTGTCGTTTTCCTCCGTTTTTCCCAATGTTTCTCCCTTGTGAAACCACAAAAAATCTCGCCTCCCTGAGGTCGGTCAAGCTTCGCCGTGAAACCTGGCTGGGGAACGAAATAAACGGCTCGGGAAAAGATTCATGCCAATGGTTTCTAGGCTAGATATATGCCAACTTAAATAAAGCTGGATATAACTGGTAGATTATCCTATATGCCAATGGGTAGATCATCCTAGAGCCCTGCAACAAAAACAACGATGTTTAGCTGCTTTTTTGGGTGATATTTCTAGCAAAAGAATAAGGGATGAAACTATCCAAGGTTGACCTGGAATAAGTACTAGCTATGCACGTATCATAAAATAGTTGGAGTTGGAACTGGTAATCTTTATTTGGCTATCAAAAACCAAACATGGGATGACTTAATGACTTATAACCGGTGAAGGGCTTTAACTGCGGTACCCTGCCATAACGAAAACACAGAAAAAATGTGATTGAACCAAACACTGGGATTTCTATCTGGTTTATGATAGTTAGGTTGGTTTTTGAACTAGGTTACCTATGGTTTTTGGGGAATATTTCTATACTTAACGGGGTTTATACACCAACAAACAAAACTGGGAGCGGCATCGCCTTGTAGATTGCAGGAAGCATCGGAAATATTTGTGTTTCCGTGACCTTGCACAAAAAACTTCATTGCAACAGGATTTTTTGTTTAAGAACATTGTATACATATATATATATATATACTTGTACCAACGCATGGCAGGATATATTTTGGGTGGTAATAATAAGAATAGTCGGAACACCACTACAAACATCTGGTATGGTATGTGTTCAAAAACGGCTTGAGCGGATGTCACACTCATGGGAAAAATGGGATAATCATAGACAGGACTGGTGATTTTACATTGCCAGGATTGCTAGGCGCGGGGAAATTGCTGGAGGATAGTTCTAGCCTATGGTTGTAGCTTTATAGCAACAGTGTCTTTTTTCCCAGGTGCGAACAGTTGGAGGATAACATTTGGACCTAGAATTGGATGTCTTGGAGCATCCCCACGTGAACACCCACGAAAACCATCATTTATCAACCTTCTGTCCCACGTTGATGGTTTAAACCCTATAAAACAACTATAATCATCAACATTCATCAACTATACTCATCCACCACGAAAACCAACCCCCCCGGCGCGACGTTTCATGTCCAAGCAGCATAAAGTGTAAAAATGGCATGGGACCTCTCACAAGGCGGGCGTTGGTCGTATTCTGAATGAACGATCTGCAACAATTGAGAGAATTCAAAGCAACTAGAAGAAACCACGGAATTCTTTGAAAACATGAGCAAAAACATGGGAACCTTCGGGAGCCTTTGAAAAAACATCAAACATATCGGAGTTTTTGAGAAGTACAAAAAACATGTTTTCTTTGAACAATAGAACGCAAACGATGAGAGACTGTGGAAACTAAAGCAAGTCATTGCAGAAGCGAGCCTCGAGGAGTATTGGTTTTGCCTTGTGGCAGCCTCCAGCTATGTTGAAATGCCAAAGAGCAGTCGAGGCTTGTGGTATACATGGTGGTATCGAGATATTAATATGAAAGGATAGTTTTTGAGAAGCACAGATATGGAATTATAAAAATGTTATGATGTATATATATAAATACAATATGAATCATACATATATAATATATAGGTATCATTGAAGAACAAAGATAAAGATAGTATGGGTATGGAAACAGGAGGTGAAATTACAAACTAGAAAATGGTTCCAAACCTTTCATATAAGTAGCCTCCAGCTCAACAGGTGCGCTCACACATCCCAAGGCACCACAGACCCGTGCCCTTGAAGTATATGACGAAGTGAACCAAACAAAGGTTTTAATAAAGTCAATCCTTGGCATGAGGCTGATGCATCTATTATCCATGATGATCCTATTAAGTTGCTGCCCTCCAGCTATGTTGGTTGATACAGCTCAAAGATACTATAGGAAAATATCATCATATATTGTATGTTCATATATTTCATATTTTTCAGCGTAAATCCAACAGTTGAGCTCCGTAACAACCAGCCAACCAATACTTAGCTGGGCCGTCGGATTAGCTAACTAGTTAGTAAGCGGGTTGTAAACTACTTGTATCATATCCCAATGATCATCCATAAAAACTAACTACTTACCCTCTGGTAAACCAACCTAGCTATTGAAAATTGCCATTTATAGTTATTTGTTCCATTAAAAAAAGGGTGATGTTCCATTGTTTTTTGTATGATTACCAGAAGGTAACTAACGCCATGGCCCATCGAAGTACCTCTTAGGTAACGGTCACCGGGGTCGCCACGTTGTTTTTTTCACGACGGGGGGCCACCGATCTCCAGGCATTTCCCGTGTCTAAAGCTTTCAGGATGTCGCCGCTGCTGCTGATATCGTCCTTTGGAGGTCGGGGTCGTATAGATCTCTGGGAATGACTAACAGGTTGCTATGGAAAATGTACCATTTATAGTAATTTGTAGTTGATTTGGCTATAAAAAATGGTGGTTTTCTATAGTTATGTTAGAAAAACACCATTTTCAGTGGCTAAATCAACTATTTGTATGGGTCATTTTCAATAGCTATGTTAAATTACCAGAGGGTAACAGTTTTTTTATTAAACATGGACCATAGAAATAGTTGATTTACCGAACTACAAAATGGTGATGTTCTATAGTTATGTTAGTTTACCAGAGGGTATCCCATACAAATAGTTGATTTACCGAACTACAACATTGTTTTTTTTTAATAGCTTTTTGTATATGTTTACCAGATGGTATATAGATATAGAGGGTTGAAATTTATATGCCCAAATGCTCCATGGCGCTGGAATATTTACCTACAAAACTGGGCCATGTTTGGGGTAAATGTATGTAAATGCAGGTAAATATTCTAGCACCATGGAGCATCTGGGATGTTTTTTTTTTTTTTTTATGGGTATTTAAGGGGATATGGTATATATATATATATGTATATATAACCAGCCATAATTGGGAATTTGAACGGATTCCATGGGGACTTCACAACTTTAATGTGAAACGATGGATTAATCCAATCCGCTGGATTATCTACCTGGAGCGACCAATTCAGTCGCAGACTGTCACACTCGTAGGGATACAACCCAAATCATCAACGGTGTTTTCTACCTTGGCCTGACATGAATCATGAAACAAATCCTTTCCCAAGATCTCCCAATGATCAGTTTTGTTTGTTGTTTGTTTTCATACCCATGGGAAACAATAGAAAACACAAGTCAACCATTCACTAAGCATTTGAACGTCTATCGTCATCAATCGTGGAATTTTGTTTGCGTATCCCCCTTATATCCCCTTATGGTATTTGTTCATTGGCATAGGAACCCTAAACAAAAGAAAAACTGCGTATGCTCTGGTAATTTAACAAAGCTATTGAAAATGGTCATTTATAGTGGATTTACCAATTGAAAATGGTGATGTTCCATAGTTGTTTGTATGTTTACCAGAGGTATTATGTTTTTGGGACAGTCAAAGCGTGCGATCCCCATGGGTTTCTCACTATCCACGTGTCCTGAACGAGGCCATCGACCATCAAACCACGCTGAGGCATCTCCTTGATACGAAGACCTGCCATGTTTCCACAGAAGCACCTGCTGACATTGCTATTTACCTTCTTGTTGCTTTAACTTAAATATACCTATCAGAACTTGTGATTTGCCAGTTCGCTACGTCAAATAAACCAGAGGGTAAAACAAAAGGTCAGATATGCAATGTGAAAGGAGTCTAGCACTACCCAAAAGGCTTAGATTTCCATAGCTACGTCAAATAACCATAAGGTAAAATAAAACATCAGACATGCAATGTGAGAGGGGTCTAACACGACCAAAAATGCTTATGATTCTTTATCAGCATTTTGATGTACTTCCATGTCATAGAAAAGCATTACTATATATGCTGACACATCGTTTTCCAAACACTATGTCCAGAATTATTCCATATTAATCTTCCGAAGAGCAACCACACTAGCTAATCAACCCAATCAGACCTCCAGAAAACCAAGACCGATAATGGACAATCCAAAGGTTTCAATATATTTGAACAATTTACAACTGGTGGATTTTCCATGGCTATCAAGATATTCACTGGACGGACATCGACCCAAACAGGCTAATCAGCTAGTCGAGTCAGGTCAATATCATAATTTCTATCCCTTGGCTCTGCCTGAAAACAAACTCTATATAATATATATATATAATTATATATCTGGTTGGTGGTTTCAACCCCTCTGAAAAATATGACTTCGTCAGTTGGGATGGTGAACTTACCATTTTTTGGGAAAGTCATAATCCATTCATGTTCCAAACCACCAACCAGTATATATATATATATCTATCATATCTAAAGTTGATTAGGTTTTAAAACCAATTTTCAAACATTATTAACCACTTACCATTTGTTAACCATTTCTTAACCATATATTAAGCATATATTAACCTTTTCTTAACCATATATTAACCATATATTAAGCATATAATAACAATTTCTTAACCATATATATTGGTCTTTCAATTGCCCCTTTCAACATGGGAACAATGGTGATGACAACCGGGTTTGACCAGGTGCATCCAGTAAAACCAATCAGCTGGCCTTGGGGCATGGGGAAAATGATGATACCCTGGTTCTTTGAAAAACGTCACCATGGAACATGAGGCACTGTTTAATAGGTAATATAACTATGGAAGATGCTGCAAAAATAACCTAACTAATTATGGAAAATAGCATTATTTCCACTAGTCAAAGAACTAAACTAATATAACTATGGAAAATTAACATGTTTCATAGGTAAATCAACTATAAATGGTCCATTTTCTGATTGTAAAAAAACAGAGGCTAAAAACAATGCCCCAGTTCTACTCAACTGACTCAACTGCCCATCCCAGGTTTTTCCAGCTGTGGATGCTTTTTTTCCACCACTTTCTTCTGGGTTCAATTCAATTCAAATCTTTCGATCCTATTCATAACTTTAACAGTACGCACTGAAATCTTGCAAATGGGGAAATCGCAATATATATATATATAAATATCCATGTAGTTCGATGGTTTTTCTGTAAAAATCAAGCTTTAGGAAGCAACAAACCATATGGATATAGAAGTTTTTAGAGGTACCACCTTGTAGCACCGTGACACCAAGACACTATGGTTGGATGGATGGAGAAGATCTCTCATTCTCTCGCGATAAATCCTTGGGATCTTCGGAGGCGAGGCTGGGTGAATTTTTGCACTGTGAATCTCGGTATATCGTGGTATACCATGATACATATATCTACCATGAAGGATGAATTTCAAGATGTTTAACGGCGAAATTGGACGGAATGAGTTTCAAGGGACGGGAATCCGGGAATATTTAGACAGTAAAACCTTGGCGTCCTGGACATGTTCCATTGAATCAGCAGCTGCGAGTCCCCGAATGGAAGTGTTCGTCCAACTCTGGAACACAAAAGTAAAAGCAAAAGACCATGTGTTCCATTCCGTCTCAGATATCATACATCTTTGAAAAATCCCTTTCAAATTTAAGCATATAATACCAGATTCCATCATTTTGCCATATATATATAATATATACTTATACCTGATTCATTTTTTTTGATGCACCTCTACTATTACTAAGGCCCCGCCACCACCAAAGCCTCCAAGGACCCGGCTCCAGAAAACTGCATTGGATCGTTGACTCCTCAGAGTCCTTGGCTCTATTGGACAAATTGCGGACCAATGCCACCAAATCCAGAAATAGTTGGTAACTAATTTAATTGGGATATATTTGCATTTTTTATAAAATCAGATGGGGTTTTGAACAAATACAAAACTGGGACGACCCTCCCTGTCATCAATTGACCGGTGTGTTTGAAGGTTTTACACGCTGAAACGTCCAAATAAAGGTTGACATTTGGGTTCCAAGTAGATACATAGATCTTAGATGCATTTGGAAAGTTTTGTTGACTTGGATACGCATGATGCACATGGTGTGCTGTATACAAAGCATAAAAGTCTCCAACCTGTTTTCTCAAGGTTTTGAATTCCTGCCTCCGAATTTGAGACACCACGGCAAATCATAACATCTGTAGCAACATCAAAAAACACGGTCATTCACAATTTCTATTTTTTATGTATTTTTATGTTGCGATTCCCCTTGCCAAAGCTCCATCTGATCAGCCAAGGTGACTTCACACGCCAAGATTCACTCGATAAACACTGCTGTACCTTTTCAGCCCGCGGAGGTGCAACGCTGCAACACTCTAACAGTGGAGCAGTGCTTTTCCGGTCTCCACAAGAGATCACAATAGCTATATAAGATCATATATAATGCGTGTATGAACAAAACGGGAGATAAACCCGAAATGTTGCATTTTTGAACATGTAAACTGATGCTATTGTTGATAACTTACGGGTGCAGTGGTATGGTTTTCTATGGGAACCATGGCGAAATAAACACAATAAGTTGTGATATGTATGTTATAACTATATTTTTCAGAAAACATGGCGACAAACGTCCCTAATCCCCAAAGGCAGTAGAGGCCCGTTACTCAATTGGAGGGGCGGATTGCAAATTCTCAGTATTCAAAACATCTTCCATGACCCGACTCTTCCGATAGTTTCCAGCAATGTGCCCATGTTTTCACGTATCCACATGTTGTTTTGTCAAACCGTTGTTGTATTTGGAAAACCCTCCGCGTTGGTTTGTCTAATCATGATTTCCCACAAGACACCGTGTTTTTTCTTGAGACTTGCCATCTGTTGGCACAAAGGAAATTTGTATCTATTTGTGTTTGTTTCAGCTCCATTTGGCAAACAAAAAAAAACATGAAACCCAAAGGTTTTGGATTATAATTTGGTTCTACTTTTGAAAACACAGGAAAACACCAACCCTCCAGCATCATTTTCTTATTTGTGTGCGGAAACATGCGGAAGCAATGCGACCACTCCTCGAGTGAACCATACTGTCATCAACAACGCCACCCAAGGGGAAACGAACGATAGATCGTGGGGCCGTGGGGCCTCAACATTTTTGTAAATTTGTTTGCCCTACTGAAAAAGTGCAACGTATTCGAATAGAATCTCTAGAGTTGGAAGGAACTATCTATCAACCAGCATTGAAATGCCCATCACACATTGTACCCAGTGCCAAGTTGGTTGGACTCCATATACAAATATGGAGCACAACCTGATCCTGACTATGACTATTGGAAATATGTCCATATTTGTCGGCGAGCAATTATCGGTGAAATCCTTTGTTGCTTAGTTGAAATGTTGGGCTTAACAAATTCATGGTCGTACTACAAAACCCATCCCCTCAACAAAGCGACCAGATCTTCCGCAGCACGTGGAGCCAAACCTCGAAGGTTGGACCTCATGGCAGCGTTTTCTGTTGGAACCGTCCCGTTCGACCTGACTGGGTCAATGTTGAACGCGCATGTTATTAATCCGTAGAGGTTAAGATCGTAACTTTTGGCCGGCACTACAACTGTATACCGTATACCCATTCATAAATCCCTAAGTGCCCGCCAGTTAAGGGCCATATCAAAAAGCATACATAAACGGCCAGCTCCGTGTTCTCGCAGCTACGTGCTAGCCACGCCGCCTTCACGTGGGCCATCCGGCTCAATTCATATTTTGCCACCTTTCGCCACTGACTTCTGGGTAGCAACGTGAATGCTTTGCCATTCCGCAAAGACTTAGTAGCGCAACTGCTGCAGCTTCATGTTCCCAATTTCATAGGTATCCAATGGTATCTAGCTCATGTTAACGTAAAGATCCAAAATAGAGATAAACTTGATAAACAAACATGTCACTAGCTATGAGATTTCGCTTTTCTATCTTTTGTTGCTCTTGAACAGTTCGCTGTTTGTCACCTAATTCTTTTTTAGCTGTTCGCTTGACACCAGTCATAATGTAAACCAGTTTGCTACTCGCCATGGCATTTTGCATCATTGGGGCAACCTGCGAACTGCAATGAATGGGTCTTTTATCTTGACAACTGGTCAGAGAACTTTGCCTGGCACCGACTTTCACGTTTCCTAAAAGCATCCTAAAAGTCCAGGCTATCCAGATCGATATAGTATTTAAACAACGATGGTCCGTTTGCATAGGAAACTCATCTCAAATGAACCTTTTCTGCCATGTTATACTCGTATGGTGGCTCATCTCACGGATCGCAAGTGGCCGAACGTTCATCTAGTAAGTATTAGTAAGCGGGATAGGCTTAATCCACGTCACTTCTAGAACATCTAGTGAACGAACCTACTGACGATCCGTGGGACGATCCACCAGGGTTTTGATCCATTTCCATATCAACATATCTAGACTATAGACGCGTGAATGTAGTCCCTTCCCCCCTTTATATTAAGCACACCCCAGAAACATTGGTTTAATAGGTATTTACACGTATTTGGAACCATTCTGGGGGGGCTAATATTAGGGGGATAAACCGTACTGCCACAAGCAACTACCATTTTGGAATGCGTATTAAAAATCATCATACATTATCACTAGTTCATGTTCACACCATTTCATACCACTATTTTATAGAACATTGAGGATGGTCTATGGCATTGGGTTTACCACAGTATAGTGACCACAAAAACTACCACCTTCTCGCTATTTGACCGGACAATGGAAAATCACATGGTTAAAGAGGAAAGTATTATAGAAAAGGGCCATGTTCCACTGCTGGGCTTGTTTACCAGAGTCTATCCTGCCACTATTGTCATCTGAGAAGTGTTCAACACCTTCTGTCGTTCCATTAGACTGGTTGTTACTAGGGCTTTCCAAAAAATGATAATGGTTGAGAGAATCCCCAATAAGTATAATAGTAACCAGCCACAAGCATCAATCAACTGGCTTTTGAACACTGCTCATTTGCTCAACATCTTGGATGCTCCTGAGGAAATAGGTCCCAGCCAGGTAAACAAAGCAAATATCCCATACGTTTATTGCAGCATTTTCGTTGAATACCTCTGGGCAAATTGTGACAACTAACATAACAACTATCTATTATGTGTATATATATATAATCATAATATATACATATATATATATAATCATAATATATATGTTTATAATCAATAAATATAATCATAGTATATATATAATCATAATATATATACAAATAATCATAATATATATATATATATGTATATATAATCATAATGTATAAATACCTATATACATATATATATATATTAATATACATATATATATTATATGAACATATACCTATATAATATATATATATATATATATATATATATATAAATCATTATATCTATATATATATTAAGAATAATAAATATATATATATATATAAATATATATATATAGTTACATATATTTACATATATGTATATTATATGGTCTGTTATATAGTCGTATACATTTCCTATATGTAATATTATGTATTACACTTTGTGGAGGTTTCCTGTGAATCATTGTTTTCTGTGACGTCGCCCAGGGAGTTCGTCGCAACTCACCCGAACGGGACGACGCAGGATCTGCGGGATCCAGTTATCGTAGCTATTTTTTGAAGTGTATATACTTGGTGGTTCATCCCACTTAGTAAGTGGGCTATAACCCTGGTTGTAAATGGGATAAGATGGGATAAGTAGGGTTAGTCCACTCAAAAAACTGGGGTTATAACCCACTTGCTATAAGTGGGATGAACCACCAAGTAAAAACCTGTGTGAAACTGGGAATATTCGGTAAAAGGGGTACAATACAGTTCGGCCTTCGCTTGTTTTTCTTTCTCTTTTCCTTCATTCCTTCATGGTCTCTTCGGAAGTGACCTCGATTTTTTCGCTTCGCTTCTTTTTGAAGGACTTGTCAAGAGCCTCCGTCATGGTTACAGTGGTTTTGGTTCCCCCATAGAACCACTGGGATGCCACACCAAGGACGCTGACGATGCATATTTACTGAGTTGTTTCCTAGAGGGTGAGACATTGAGTACCATTTCCAGAGTTTCTTCTCGTTTAACCAAACTGTACACAGCCAACGAGAGAAGGACACACAGGTTCAGATGGGTTTTCGAAGGTGACGGCGCACATGTGCCTTAAATCAACACAATTTGATGTGGTAAAGCCAATGCCACAAAACAATCAACCAACCAACCACGACTAGGCTCATGACAGACATCATCCCAGTTCTAGGGGTATACCCAATTTCATCAAAGTCGATTGGGGACAAAAAAAAGAGGTTTCCTAAAATAGGGCTACCTCCAGACTCCAAATCATCCATATTTATATATAGATGGTTTTTTCATGAAATAAACCATCCAGCTATGGGGGTACCCCCATGACTATGGAAACCCCATGAAATGTTTTACACATCGTGGCTATAGGTCCAACTTGGGCACCCCACTACCTGTCCCCCTGCGCGGGAAGAGCGCTGCCAGTTATTCGTTCAATTATAACACTGTCTATAACTATAGATATAAATGATATATGAAACATTGGTAGATATAAATCAACCATCTACACTATTATAATTACATTGATTCAACTATAGATATATGTTCCATAAATCCCAGTGAGTCTAGTCATAAGCCAAGCTACCTATGATAAATCACCTATAAATCTCCGTGTGTTGGTTTGTCTGGAAATAGGGTACCCCTAAATCCATTGGTTTATTATGACTTTCCGTGTTAAGTTTGCAATAACTGGAAGTATACTTTTTAGACAACCAAGTTTCGACAAACCCCATTTCTGTTAAGCCGTCTGGTGGCGAAACATCGCTCAAAAACTGGGCCGTCTGCTGAGTCAGTCGTCCAAAGAGGCTAAAGGTCTTGCCACTGCCAGTCTGACCTGACGCGGCAAGTTCGCATCAGTTCGGTTTGGCTTCAACGGTGACAATCCCCGGGAAACAGGAGATACATGGAGATACTGTGATACTGTTTCCAGGGACTTGGTAATCATCAACAGTCTCGTTTTTTTGTATCCGTGTACCAAATCTTAAGCTTTGTCTCTCCATCAAACTAAAAACAAATAAGGGAGGATGGGGACATTCAGAACGCTTTCTTATGGTTATTTATAGGGAGGCTCAAAGGAGCTGGAACGAGATATCTATCAAACTATAAAGAAAACCCCTCCATGTATGTTGTCTTTGAATGTTCTTTTCTTTCACATACCTATCCATGTTGTTCCGTTCAGTTCCACGTGTTTATATCCAATATAATTGTATATATATATATATATACAATACATAAAATATGTATGGTACGTAGATGCATGGATGGATTGATGGATCTAGTAGTCGATCAATAGATAAGTACTCGGATAGAGCTACAGAGAGGAATAGATAAGTACTCGGATAGAGATAGAGAGAGGGTTGTAAAGATACGTTAGACTAGAGTAGATTGGATTGGATTGGGTTCGATTGAATCAAATCAGAGCAAATTACATAGATAGACCAAGAAAAGTCATGGGGTACAAAAGGGGTTTGCCCAAGACTAAAAGCAGGGTCACCGTCATCCCACGGGCATGTCCTGGACATGTCTGGTGGAGTTTCTAGGGACCCGAAATGATTGTACCCGGATTCCCATAGGCCTGCCATAATACTCTCATAAGAAGCCAAAGATGGAATAAGGATGTCATCCTTTTTGGGGCTCGACAAATTCCTTGGATCTATCAAAAATCATTGGTCTATGGATTCCAAGATTTCCATGAAAACTTCAGTTGCTGACTATCTGACTACCAATTTCCTGGTGGCAAATCATGATTTGCTGCTGGCAAAGTGAAGCTGTGTCCATGTTTTGCCATATGTTGCGTACACTGCATGCTTACTCTAAACGACAATTCAAGACACTAAAACATTATAATATCATATAATATCATATGTATGAATATATATATATGTGTGTATATGTATCAACGATTTCAACTTTTCCCCAACCAAACCCATGCTTAACATTTGAGATTGTTATGGTCAACTCCTCATTTTGCTCTGTCAAATCTCAGAAAATCAACCCATTTTTTTCTCGGAAAAAATCACCGTTTTTTTTACCCAAGGTCGTGCCCCCCAACGATAGCTGAGTTGGTGCAATTAACTCCAATTTCACTATGGTCATACTTAGAACCATGGTATAGTAGGGGTTTCTCAGGTTTGGGAGCCCCCACATTGTATGATAAATCATCACTAAACAGGAATGCTCCAATCCATTACAGGCAAGTTTCCCCCAAATGAGGGTTTCCATGGGCATGGGGGTACCCCCAGCCATCATCAATTTTAATCGGAATTTCCACTATAAACCATCATCGATGTTTGGGGTATCCCTCCATTTCTAGGAACCTTGCAATGCGTATGGGGTATTGGGAGCAACCCTGCTAAACTCCCGAGTCCCTTTGCGTCTCAACGCAAGCGCTGCGCCCCTGGCCGTACATCAGCAGCGTACCGTTGTAACCTGGCCGTGAAGGAGTCACGGGTGGAGAAGCTATAAAACATGGGAGTCACTGGCGTATCAATGTCGTTTCATGTGGTTTAGTGTGATTTCATGTGGTTCTTATGCTACTACAATGTAGTTTTTCATGTGGTAAACCTTATGCTACTACAATGTAGTTTTTCATGTGGTAAACCCAGTTCTTAGCATCCCTATCACCAAAAATGGGTGGTGACTATCATCCCCAGAATGTGGCAGATATCTGCGGATCATTAAGGATATGATAGTGGGAACAGAAAGGTTGGAAGGCCCCCAAAAAAGCAAACTATAGACAAAATGGAACTTGGGCATATACCTCTGGTAAACTAACATAACTATGGAAAATCACCATGTTCAATAGGTAATTCCACTATAAATGGCCATTTTCAATAGTTATGTTTGTTTACCAAAGGGTAAATACGCTATCATAAGCTTTGAACGCAGTGCCCCTCTATCTCCGCATCGGGAGAATGGAACAAGCCAACATTTAACCACCAACCATAGCCGATAGCCTGCAGAAAAAATGCAGTGATTAGTTTATAGCGGGATATCCACAATTGGATCCCCCGAAACCTACCCAAATCAGTTTCTAACAAATTGTTTGCCTTCTAACAAGTTGTTTGGAAGTCTAGCGTATGTAAATATATATATATATATTTATAAATAACTATATAATTATATAATTATATATATATACAAGTATTCCTATTTACATTCATAGCAAGAGATAAACATATTAATTAAGGACTACCCAGCAACCAGCGACGCACTTGCCAATTTCAGGCTTTTTTTCCCGCCAAAGTGTTCATGGGAAAAGTGTTTTGGGCCTGCGCCCGTTGGGGCCAAGGGAATCGCCGGATCAACACCAATCCTTTATATACTTGGATGTGCATTGCATCCCGGTTAGTGTGTAATAAACATATTACAAGCCACTTATATCTAGGATATAAATATATGTATGTAAATAAATAAATAAATAAATAAATATATATATATATATATATTCATGTATAATATATATATATACACATGTGTTTTACTTATTTATTTATGGTATTTTGCTTATACATAGGTTATTAGCCACCTTCTTCAATTCCCATGTAGGAAACTAATAGATGTACAGAAGTGATTGGAAACATGTAAAAGTCAATATTATATATATATATGTGTGTGTATATATAAAATACATTATGTATATTGCTATAATTATTATCATTATTGTTATTGTGATATATAGTGTATGCGCTGTGTACAGAGTATATCGCACATAGTCCATTCTCCTAAAGTTATATACTGTATGAAGTATATATATGTAAATGTTTGAACAACATATTATAAATATAAATATAGGTAAATATATTCTATGCGTAATTCTTCCTTGATATATTTATAAACACTTTTACATACGAGCAAATCCAAGAGTGTTTTCACAAAACTTGAATGACAACAACTTTTTGGGATGCATTGTGCCTGTAGGGTTGACACAATTTCTTTGAATTCACCTGAAAAAAACAACAACTCAGAAAACCCATTAATGTAGGTAAAACAATGTCATAGTCACCGTCCCCCAGTCATCACCATTTTTATAGGTGGGATTGAAACCATTCCCAGACATGGGTGGCTTATGGCATTGTTTTACCATCTTTATATATGGTTTCCCACCCCCCAAAAAGGATGAAACAATCGTTTCAGGGTAGCTACTTTCATCATTACGCAAGGCAGAGATGGGCGAAACCAACGCTATGATTGCATACCATTGCTAGTTTATAAGTGGCTTCGTCATAGACAAGGATTATTCGGACTTGTTATACCAGGGTGGGATTTCCCCCTGCTGATTCCTACTGCTTGGCCCGACTAAGCTTGCTAAACCACACCAAGCTCGGGTTTTGGATATCCGATTTTGAAGAATCCCTCAAATCTACCATCTTCTAGCCAAGTTTTATTGCAACATGACATTTTATGTTTCAAGGGGTAGCACCCCTGAGTCGTCGTTTTCATCACCCATGTTTTTGTGTCATCATGTTTGATGCGTGACGGCAGATTCCCAGCCACCAGTTCTGGGAAGAACCATAGGTTCCTTGATGTCGAGAGCTCTGAAGTCAACAGAAATCATAGCTGTGTTGTCAACAAACCACCCCGAAACCTCACACGGCAAGCCTCAGGAAGTGGCCTTACAAGACGTTGCTCCTCTGAAATGTGTTGATGTTCTGTTCAAGTAACAACTTCATGCTGAAACATCTGGATGAAAGCTATCGGGATTAGGGTTCTGAGAATCAAGCCGTTTTGGATATGGATGGTAAGCAAGGTTGGTAAACTTTAAAGTGCGAGTGTTCCCACTCTGTTCGCAACCACTTCCTATAGACATCAAGTTGGGATAAACACCCAAGTTTCGTTAGTGCGACTACCCAATCTCGTCTTGATCACTGGTGGGTGGGGTAAGTTACCGAGGAAACACAACAAGTCAGGTGGTCTACAGGAACGGAAGCCAGGGAAAACAAACGACCACAACAAATATAATGTCAACCCCGGATTTATAAACCATGGTTTATTAATTAGGGGGGTACTCCTCCAATAGTCATTTCATCTGATACTTAAATGGTACCCTCCCAATTAAACAGCCGTTTGGGCTTTATTAATCCAGGGTTGACATTAGTCTTACCCTTTGGTAAACTATGTAAACTAACATAGCTACGGAACATGTAGATTTTTGCGCATTTTAGCTCAAACATCGAACTAAATGGTCATGTTCAAAAGCAAGTTGTGTTAAATGAGCCAGATGCGAACTTGGTGGTTTCATCATCCCCATTGAGCCGAAAAAAGTTGCGAATGAAAACGCAGAATCCCTGTGGCTTCTCAGAATCCCCAACTGATACCAGGTAGTTTTGCAGAAAGAGTCCAGCCAACCAATCAACCAATGGTATCATTTTTTCATGGCTCATGGTGTCCCCGGTGTCCCCCAAAAATGTTGGAAACCGGCCACCCCTGGCACCCCCGGCCTGCACCCCCAAGTCCCAAGATAGCTACAAAGTGGCCCCCCCAAGTCCGATAGCGGTGCGTTGGTGCGTTTAGAACTGAAAAACCTCACTCTGGTTTATGATATCTATAACAATAATAGGTATTAGGCTTTCTAAACCATCATTTTGCGTCACTGATGGACATATAAAGCAAAGCTATTGGAGTTATAGGCAATATTGGATATAACCATATATTCATATATATTCATGTTTATGGGATGTTTGCCATTTATGAACATAATACTTAAACTTTCAACAAAAAACACTTTTTATGGCTAAATTTATTGGATGTGCAGCCACTCGACATGGAACTGAAACTCCGATCATCCCAGAGCAACAAAACTCGGCAATCCTGGAATCAAACCAGACTCATCTGAAACCTTTCAAATCTTAATATATGTTAATATCCTAAATATAAAATATAGTCATTTAATTAATTTATACAAGGTTATATCATCTAATGTTCTGTTGAGTGATAATGTTGTCCCTCACATGTCTTATCATCTAATCCACCTGAATATATGATTGAAAGGACCATTAATATCTGTGTATATATATATACACAGTAAAAAGAGTTTCTCGGATATATTTTTAGAATATAAAATATGTATATATACATATATATATATACAAACATATATATACATATATATATGTACATATATATATATATATACATATATATATATATACATATATATATATACGCTTACATGGACTACACCTATCTAGTTGGCGATATGGATCCATCAATAATTGTATACAGTAGACTTTTAGCATCTATGAACCAACGATACTGGTTCACAGCTGGTTCCGCAAGGTTCACGCTAAGATAGGGAGCTTGGTTCCGCAACGGGGAGGCAGCACATATCAAGATAAATGACCATTTATAGTGAGTGGTCCCATTAAAAATGGTGATTTTTCCATAGTTATGTTAGTTTACCAGAGGGTACTGGATTCAGCCAAGTTTGCAACAATAACTTGGTTGCAGCATGGTTTACGGAAGATAGATTGACATAATTGACATACTATAAGATATATCTAATTATAAACCACCAATCACACCCATGAACATGAACACAACCACCAAAATTCAGGTTTTTGGAAACTGTATAGTAATATCCTGCAACATAGAATAGATCTATGGCACTAGGCGGCGTCCAAATAGATAAAACAGTATCTATCTATCTATCTATATATATATATGTGAAAATCACCTAAAAGATCCTGAAAAAATATAGTCAAATCAACATACCGTTGACATTATGAGTTTTGGGTCTGTATCTCAGCATATTATACATCTATCTGGGTAAATTATAATATTTCACAAACCTGAATCTTGCGGCCATTTGGGGATGATTTCCCTTACTAACCATGATTCCAGTGAGGGAGAACAGTGAGGTCGTTATAATTTACCCACATATATACTATGTCGACTAAGGATATGGCATCAACTCAACTTTGCAACAAAAACGTTGTGCCCTTCGTTTTGCAAATTCTTAGTTTTGCTAAGTGCCCCAAAATCTGTGATTGAAACTTTCTGTGATCATCAAGGGCAGGGATATATCTAATCTAATTGGTACTGAAAATTGATACATTTCAATTATCCGAAAAACTTGTAGCCCGCAGTCTGTTCCCAGGAATATGCCATCCTGTACATATCATGTCCGGCCAAAGAAGGGAAAGGCAGGAGCCACAGCTGCAAAAAGAAATCGAAATCTGGAAGTTGTCCAACAAACACGTGATGAAACCGAAATTAGTTAATGATGGGCCCCGCGCCACTTATCTTTCTTATAAACCTCATTAGTTCGTAGATTATATATTGCATATCTTCATGCGTTTCCCAGGCCATTGGAGAAAGAATAGGCCTGGGGCCGTCAGTTGATAGGTTTCTGTTGGAGCAATCATGGTTAGTGTGGGTAAAACAATGCCATAAACCAACCATGACTGGGAATGGTTTCAATCCCACCG